GGAGGAATACACCACCTAGAGAAAAGGAAGATGAGTAAATTCTGTACTAACAATGTTTTTCGAATGACTAACATACTATATTTACAATGATCTTATTATAAATCTAAAATCCTGGTTATGAAAACTGATGTAATAACATGGCTTTTTTTTTTTTTACCTCAACGTTGTCATCGTTATCTTCCTCTTCCTCACTGCCCTCACTCTCCTCCTCTGCCTCCTTGAGCCATTTAACAAAGGGCTATGCCTTGGCATGAATCTCTTTAGCCAACTCTTTGGAGACATACTTCTTAGACACCTATAGCAGAAACGTCACCACAGGCTTAAACTCCAGAACACTAGACTAGTCAAGTGTGCTTGCTGCTATCAGACCCTGGGCTCTCCAGCAGCATGCAGGTCACAGACGTTACCATATTACAACCCCCTCCGACACTCAGGCTAAAATGACAAGGGTTGCCTAGCAACAGGTAACCGACCGAGATCAGAATTGGATTCAAGCATCTAAACTACTTTTATCTGAGCCACATTCAACTCTGACCTACATCGTTTCATCTGAGATTCTAGAAGGTCAAGTCTAGAGGCTGTGTGTTGGCAGGTTACCTTTTCAGCCCATGCAAGTATGACATCTTCCTCCAGCAGATCCGCGTCATACAGGTCTTTGAGTATAATGGGGACTCTGGGTAAGAGCTGCATCTGATGCAGCTTCACCAGGCACTCAAAGCCACCCAGAAGATATTTCTGGGCTTTCTTATTGTTGTGGCAGAACTGTTGACAGAAATGTAAACTTCTTACTTATTATAGTGCAATAACAAGCCAGTAAGTGTTATTTGTAAAAGCAGCATTAGTGCATTTTAACAAAAGGAATAAGGTTTGCACGCATGGGAAGTCTTTGCTGTTGTAGGGCAGGTTTCCCAATCAGGGGTTTCTTAAAATTACAGTTGAATCACTGATGTCACATGGACTATTTTGATGTCCGTACTATCTTTCTGGCCCTTGAACATGTCAGAAAGCTCTTGGATTCCATCAAAAATATCTTTATTTGTGTTCCAAAGACGAACGAAGGTCTTATGGTTTTGGAACGTCATGAGGGTGAGTAATTAATGACAGAATTGTCATTTTTTGGTGATCTAACCCTTTAAATTGTGAATGCTGAATGACTAAAAAAAAAAGTTATGTGAATTCATTGGTCAAAGAGTGGGAACCTTGAAAAAAAAAAAAAAATTCAGCTCTTAAAACGTTGAGAATCAGTGTTTTAAATGTTAACATATGAGGACGTACCCTGAGGAAGTGGCGCTTGTACTTCTTGATCTGTTCACGGATGTTCTCGTCAAAGAGCAGCTCGTTTAGCCAACTCTTTGGAGACATACTTCTTAGACACCTATAGCAGAAACGTCACCACAGGCTTAAACTCCAGAACACTAGACTAGTCAAGTGTGCTTGCTGCTATCAGACCCTGGGCTCTCCAGCAGCATGCAGGTCACAGACGTTACCATATTACAACCCCCTCCGACACTCAGGCTAAAATGACAAGGGTTGCCTAGCAACAGGTAACCGACCGAGATCAGAATTGGATTCAAGCATCTAAACTACTTTTATCTGAGCCACATTCAACTCTGACCTACATCGTTTCATCTGAGATTCTAGAAGGTCAAGTCTAGAGGCTGTGTGTTGGCAGGTTACCTTTTCAGCCCATGCAAGTATGACATCTTCCTCCAGCAGATCCGCGTCATACAGGTCTTTGAGTATAATGGGGACTCTGGGTAAGAGCTGCATCTGATGCAGCTTCACCAGGCACTCAAAGCCACCCAGAAGATATTTCTGGGCTTTCTTATTGTTGTGGCAGAACTGTTGACAGAAATGTAAACTTCTTACTTATTATAGTGCAATAACAAGCCAGTAAGTGTTATTTGTAAAAGCAGCATTAGTGCATTTTAACAAAAGGAATAAGGTTTGCACGCATGGGAAGTCTTTGCTGTTGTAGGGCAGGTTTCCCAATCAGGGGTTTCTTAAAATTACAGTTGAATCACTGATGTCACATGGACTATTTTGATGTCCGTACTATCTTTCTGGCCCTTGAACATGTCAGAAAGCTCTTGGATTCCATCAAAAATATCTTTATTTGTGTTCCAAAGACGAACGAAGGTCTTATGGTTTTGGAACGTCATGAGGGTGAGTAATTAATGACAGAATTGTCATTTTTTGGTGATCTAACCCTTTAAATTGTGAATGCTGAATGACTAAAAAAAAAAGTTATGTGAATTCATTGGTCAAAGAGTGGGAACCTTGAAAAAAAAAAAAAAATTCAGCTCTTAAAACGTTGAGAATCAGTGTTTTAAATGTTAACATATGAGGACGTACCCTGAGGAAGTGGCGCTTGTACTTCTTGATCTGTTCACGGATGTTCTCGTCAAAGAGCAGCTCGCTCAGAATCAGAGGACCCATGGCCTCCACATCCATCCTTTCAGCCTCAGCCAAGATCTCTTTATCTGCCGAGTCAATTGCTCCACTGTCTTTCTTTTCCTAAAGGGCAGAAACAAAGAATGGAGCTGAACGAGGAAAGTGTCATATATATATATATATATACAGTATATATATATATATATATATTCTCATCAAAGAGCAGCTCGCTCAGAATCAGAGGACCCATGGCCTTCACATCCAGCCTTTCAGCCTCAGCCAAGATCTCTTTATCTGCCGAGTCAATTGCTCCACTGTCTTTCTTTTCCTAAAGGGCAGAAACAAAGAATGGAGCTGAACGAGGAAAGTGTCATATATATATATATATATACAGTATATATATATATATATATATATATTGAGAGAGAGAGAGAGAGCGAGCAATTTTCAGTACAATTTTAAGACCAACACCTTCACAAAGTTGTAAAATATGTTGACCCTCTCCTCCAGGGATTTCTCCAAGTCATCAGTGAGCGTGAGACCCTTGGCGTGCTCGCTGATCTCCTCCATCCTGCGACGCTGGGCCTCTTCTGTGGTCTCCTCAGCCCAGTCTTCATCGTCATCCCCATCCTGTCATAAGATCACATTCAACACCGGTGTTTCTCATCTCTTACGCTGGTATGTGGTTTTTCAGGAGATGATCTCAAAGCAGCACTTACCACAGCATCAGGGGCATCTATGTCATTATGGTTTCCAGCTTCTCCACCACTTGAGCCATTCTCTTTGTCCTTCTTTCGGTTCTTCTTTTCCTTTTCTTTTTTCGCAGATCCACTGTCATTCTCTGCACCAACATGGCAGGAGAGAGGAAGTTAACAAAAGAGCAATAGAGTTTAGTTCATGAACATCAAATCAGCATGGCATAGGTCAGAAGTTTTTGGACTACCATTACTGCAGATACATACTGCTTACAAGCACATACTAAATCCAAAACAGATTAGGGTTACCCAAATACCCAAGCCTTCCCTTCAGTTTTATTTGAAAGTAAAGGTTTGTGGAACATTAAAAGGACAATAAGCACAATATGAAAGTGAAGATAATCATGCGTTTACCACTGGGGATTCAAAATATCTATTCACCGTCTCTCTAAAGTCTGTATTTACCTGGTGGATTCTTGAGAATGAAGGTGCAGAGTTTGTGTCTAGTGTCCAACATGCCTCTGTAACCACAAGCCTTGCAGGAGTTTCCAATGGTCTGCTTCTTGGGATTAATGTGCTACAATGAGGAGAACATTTGACTTTATTAAACTATATTGATAAACAGGCTGTGCGACAATGAATCCAGCTACAAATCTGTGAGGCAAATTGCTCACAATTGCTTCCACTTGAAACTTGCAGAAATTATTTTTCGAAAAAAAAGTGTATGCTTTGCCCTGTGTACAGGTATAGACCGATGTGTTATATATTATTTATAACCTTACAGAGAGGATATAAAGTCGACTGCAGCATGAAACCGAAACCAGGCCAGCTGAGACCATACAAAAAAAAAAAAAAAAAATCTCATGAAGTCCTCAGTACTGCACTGCAGAGGAAAATCAGCAGGCGCAAAAGAACATTGCTTTCAAGTATATATATAAAATAAAAAAAAACAAGTTCAAGTAAGTTAAACAAATAAGATTTTTTTCCATCTTAAAACAAGACATTTCTGTCCCTCCATTGAAAGTCCATGCTCTACCATACTTGCGTGACACAATAGATACTGTGTGCTCTTTGCATTAATGTCTTATGGGTTTGGAATGAGTAAATAATGACAGAACTTTAATTTTGGAGTCAACAATTCCATTATGATATGGTAACCCCTCCTTGCCATTGACTGATTGGTTTTGGCAACTGAAAACAGGAGACTGAATGTAACAATGAGAAACTGTAGGTGGCTTGTATACAGTTAATGACACAGCTAATTTCCTCTGTACACCTGCAAAACAATCTTAACATGGAAGCTACATGCGTGACCCCATAGAGACCTGCATACTCAGCAACGTGCATTCAAACAAAGGGCACTCAGTTCAACAGGGCATCAAGGGCACCCAGTTCAACATCCACCAGAATGCACCGGTTCATCAATAGTCTCACTTCAACCATGACCCTTCTATGCAAGTCTAAAGGTATATGGCAAAATGGAAATATTTACCAAATCAGTTTCAGGATTGTCACACTCAGGACACAGCACAAACTTGCGAATGAATCCATCTAGCATGTCTTGCAGTTTGTTTGCTTCATGAGATCCATTGACGATGTAGCGGTCATTCTTGCTATCGAACTGGGTTTGGGCTCCCAACTCACAACCAAAGAATTTGGTGGGATAAGAAACATCAAACATGCATTTACATATAATTTATTTAATCTATATCAATATTTATCATCAAGAAATAAATATTAACCCTGGCCATATACGTTTAAAACCCACCTTAGCAATGAGACGGGGCATTTTATAGCGGTAGAACTGGTCTGACACGCTGCGATTGACATTGATGGACATTTTGGCTTCCCGTATGGTTTATCAGCAAGACGAGAAGATCATGAATTGGCAATTATTAGTATCTTCTGTTTGAAGAGGAGGGAATGACATAAACGACTGCAAGAGTACTTTGTCTCTGACATGAAAAGGGTACGGCCACTGAGGCTCCAGGCTTCGAGCTCGTTGACTAAGTTCCCCCCAAACAGGTTCCGACAGCTGCACTATAGCACTGCAAAAAGGACATGAGAATGAGGATTAAGAGCAGAAAACAACAAGTATCACACAGTTTAGCATCACTACCACTGTGGTATCAACCACAGCAGACAACTAAATTGAGGTGTGCCAATTCTCTATATGCCTGGCTAGTTATCTACTAGGACCACCTGTCATGGTGATATTGGAGTCTGCATACAACTCAATACTGAAATAAATTGCTGTTAAGGATAGAAAACAATGGCATAGTCAGACCCAGACATTCTGGTGCCGAATTGACTTGCATGCTGATGGGATGAAACTCCAAACAGGCCTGTGTTGAGCAACAACATGCTGCAGAGTGCGTCACACCATAGGAGGACGCCATTTTATTCGGTGCAGTATGCATCACATTAAGATTGATGCAAACTCCTAGATCTGGTTAAACAAACCAACTATCGCGAGAGTACACGCGCAGTCATGAGAGAGAAAAATACACTAGAAATAACCGAAATAAACGTACCTTTCCCATCCGTAGCTCCTGTCGTCCAGGTACTCACCGTTTTCGCAAAACAAAGACATAAACACACCGCTGGTCGCCCTGAGAAGAGGTGAACTACTGGTTTGAGTTGGTCGGTTTAGTTTAGCTAGCCATAGGTAAGGAAATTACAGTGAAATAGCTTTTTAAAACAATGCTCACATGTCGGAGGCCTATTCAGAGCCTTAGCAACATCAACCATGTTGACTATGACGGTCTTAATTCCATTCCCCTTGCCTTCCACCTGTGAAAAACAAACATGGTTTAGTTTGCATCTAATTATTACATATAGTTGGATAATGGTCAAATTTCATCACAATAACCTTTGCAAAGATAATTAAGATAAGAAAAATAATTTTATACCTGAGAAGAGGTGAACTACTGGTTTGAGTTGGTCGGTTTAGTTTAGCTAGTTAGGGGTCGGCACGGCGGTGCCTGACTGGGTTACACCTTGCGGAGCAGAGTGATAAACCCTGAGGAGAAAACTCACGACGCCCTCAATACAGGGGACCTGAAATAAAACAGCATTCATGAGTAATACTTTACAGTCAGCAACATAATAATGCTGTTGATGTGACCCAACACGACTGACGTAAGTTATAAGAGCTAACATATGGCAGCATTAACAGAAACCTAACACGCAGTATCTCCTCAAGACAGAGTGCGAATATATTTATCAAATGTGAATAAAACAGAAGAATCCCCTAATGAATAGGCTAATATGTTTTCGCGAAGTTTTACTCACCTCTCGCACGCTCCTGCTCGTATGCTAAACCACAATGAGCGCATAAGACCTCGTGACTTCCAATCTTAACTCGGCTGCAAACTGGCCCCGCCCCCATGCCCTAAACGGATGTTTTGATTGGCTTGCGCCTCACTGGATTCTATTTTATTTGTCAAATTTTGCTATCAATCATATTGGACACGCCGATTTACTTGCTGATTGGGAAAGATCTCTTTTGTGGTAAATAACTTATTACTTTTGGTAATTTTTATACGAAAATTCTGATAAATAAAAGCGCCACACTTTTGATAATTTTTATACGTAAATTCAAACGCCACACAGGCTTCGTGTTTTTTTAGTGTGTATATAAAAGCGTTGAAGATGATGGACAATCTCCAAGCAAAAAAATTGCCTTCTGTTAGACTAACCCTGTTTTTTTTTTTTTTTTTACAGTCTATGGACTAACCCCTACATTTTTTATTCAAATAGTTTGTCAGTCATGTTTTTCTTAATTCAACTAGGCTACCTATTTTGTTCTTTTGGAATAATAGTACAAATATGGGAAAAATTTGCTGATTGGGTCATTCCTGTTAGGGTATGCATTACATTATTATGTCCTCATCATATATGTCTTGTTAACAATGTTATAAAGATGGAAGTCATATTAGTTTCTCTTTTACCATGATATCACAATTATGTGAACATAAGGGTTGTAGAAAATGGCGGTGCTTTGGCTTGAGCAGATGTTGACTTTTTTTTTTTTTTTGCCAACTTTTCTTTTATCTAATCAAAATACTTCAGAAAATATTTATTTCCATTAGTTATGTTTTTGTGATCTTTTTTTGTTTTAGAATTCCAGCATATATGAAGCATATAACTATATAAACTATATACAGACAGATACCATGAAAATTGTCCACCTTATGATGTTTTTTCTTTCTCTTTTAATTGCTTCTCCTTTTACATATTCTGCTTTTGGAAGTGTCACAAATTCCACATATAGCCTGGGACAGTGGATGACACACAGAGTGAATTCTCTGGATGTGTTTACAAACCACTGGAACAAAAGATTCCTGGCTGAGCACAACATGATGTAGGCCAGTGGAGAGGAATGCAGAGGACAAAAAGCCAGTATGGGTTCACTGGATTACCTGTGGCATTTTCAGGGTTCAGAGGGTTTACTGATGTAAGCTACAGTGACAAAATCCTTTATATTTACTGTACAAAGGAAAATATCCTATAACATTAGAGGAAACAAACACATTTTCAGCATTCATTCTAGTAAATAAAGGGTTAAAATATTTTACAGTAAAGTGTTTTACAGCAACAAAACAGGAGAGCATTGCAACTCAGTCCACTTTTTCTGAAGTGAAAACATAAATGTGATTCCTCTGTTTGGTGAATTAATAATGAATGGGCCTCTTGTTGACAGTAATGTATGCATTATAGATACTTTTATCCAGCATATACACATTTCTACACTTATACCAGTACAAACATTCACTACGAATTAAACCACTGGCATTAGCACCATGCCTTAGTTGCAACTTGAAATACAGGAACAGGAGAGTCCACCCAAAAATGAAAATCCTGTCATCATTTACTCACCCTTATGTCGAAAGTTAAACATGTAAGACTTTCTCTCTTGTGTGGAAGACAAAATAAGAAATATTGAAGAATGTTGAAAACTAAACAGTTTTGGTTCCTATTGACTTCCAAGTGTCCATACAATGGTGTCAAAAGGAAGAACAAACTGTTTAGTTATCAACATTCTTCCAAATATGTTCTTTTGTCTTTCACAGAAGAAAGTCATTTGGAATGACATGAGGGTGAGTAAATGATGACAGAATTTTCATTACTTAATGGACTATCCCTTTAATCTCATGTCAGTGTCAAAAGTGCCCCAATTTACCAATAAGGGGACATTAAATATGTGTGGCTGTATAATGAATGTTAAAATAAAATCAGTTATATAAAAAAAAAGTTATATAAGAGTTATATTTTTAAAAATACACAAACTTATTTGTTTTTAACAAACTAAATGGTAAACATAAGGCAGATGGACTTTATATTGTATAAATTTGACCATTAACGTTTCACCACATATATTTTTTTCTTTAATAGCATTAAAAATTCAAATGTGAAAATAAGAGACACTTCTTATTCCTTTACTCAATTCTGTTTATGATTTATTTGCACATCCTCCAGTGAATATTTGCTCCACCTCTGCCAAAACAGGTGGAGAACATCTGTGGATATTCTTCAGGTCTTATTACAGTTTTCCCAATTGGATTGAAGTCAGGGCTCTGGTGGAGGTGTTCCAGAACAACAACCATTTTCTTGCTATTCATAGGTTTTCCCTTGTGTGCTTATCCCTGCTGATGAAATGAATGTTGCCCTTGATTACAGATCTCTGGCTGGCTGAAATAGGGGATTTGCATGCATTTTGTTCTCATGTTGCTCTCCCGCTAAAAAGTAACCCCAGCTCCATGCATGACAATAGTGATGTTGTCACCTTTTGCCGTGTTTTGTTCACATTGCCCTTGTTTCTCATTCCTTAGTGTAGTAGGTCAGCCTGATATTAGCAGTGCTTGGGATGTGCCATATGTTTTCCCCTGCATTTCTGACACTAATCTGAGCTGCTGTTTTTAGTCATGAAACACCAGAAGGATACATTATAAATTCATATGTAAGTAAGCAAATGGCAGAAGGGATACTTATGAAGTTATTTTATGAGAATCAGTGGTGCCGTCAAGGTCAAAGCTGCATTCAGTAGTTTGCTGCTAATTTAAAATGTTTTACACAATAATGTTTTTGTAAAAAATACTTAATGGTGTGCACCCACATTAGACGAAGACTGTATTTATAGTAGTTTCCTATTAAAAGTATTTGCATAGAAATCTTGTATTTTTCCATGACGTGACCCAACATCTGAGAGAATCCTCACACTCATTGGCTGTGCCTTTTTAGGTACGCTAGTAGAATAGTGTCGTTTGGTGCACCTAATACGTTGGATGACAGCTGCAGTTAAAAACCAAGAAAAAGAAGAAGTGTAGTTTGGTAATAAGAAAAGAATCAGTACCTGTACGGTCCAAGAAGTAGAAAAGATCGGAAGCCAGTAGACAGAAAGTCTGACAAAGACAAAAAAAAACGCAAGTAAACACTGGTACGGCAAACACAAAGAGAAAATCCTGAGTAGTGATGCCCAGTTTGCTTCTTTTTTGTCAGACAGGTAAGGGAATTATGTAGACTGCTCTCTAAAATGCAGAGAAGCGATTAGTCAACAGAAGAGACTGACGGCAGCGCGTGAGTGTTTTGCTTAATACTTTGGAGATCAGGGCCCGTATTCACAAAACATTTTATCTTACCACTAAGAGTTCTCCTAAATAGCAGTAAAAGTTTTTAACTACGAGTTTTCTCTTAAAACCTATTCACAAAGCTGCTGAGACAAACTTTTACTTAGGAATAAAGAGAAGTCTTAAAGGGGTCATATGATGCGATTTCAAATTTTCCTTTCTCTTTGGAGTGTTACAAGCTCTTGGTGCAGAAAGAAGACCTGTAAAGTTGCAAAGACTAAAGTCTCAAATCCAAAGAGATATTCTTTATAAAAGTTACGAGTCAACCACGCCTACCTAAAACGGCTCGTTCTAAAACGCCCCCATATGTCTACGTCACTATGTGGGAAGATTTGCATAACGCCGCCCAAATGTTCACGCAAAGAAAGAAGGCGTAACTTTTATTCTCGCTGTAGTATTGTTGTTGCCGCCGCCGCCATGTCGTGAAGACACTGTGTGTTTCGTTGTGAAAGCAAAACTACTTTGTTTGGCCTTCCAAAAGAGGAC